ACGGGTGGCTTCGTGCATCCATCGTCCATCCATCTTAACGTCCGCCTTGCTTTGCTCCTGAGTGTCCCGCGTGTGCGCTGTGGACGATTCGAACGCGTAGCGTCCTGCAGAGGAAAAGAGGAGTGACCGTGGCTCGCTGGAGGTCGGCGGTGTGGCTTCTGCAGGCGCTGACCCACGGTCTGTGATTTCTCTCAGGCGGATCTGTGCACGGGGCTGCAGGGCTTCCTCATCTTCCACAGTTTCGGGGGCGGCACCGGCTCTGGGTTCGCGTCTCTGCTCATGGAGCGGCTGTCGGTGGACTACGGCAAGAAGTCCAAGCTGGAATTTGCCATTTACCCAGCTCCCCAGGTGTCCACGGCCGTGGTGGAGCCCTACAACTCCATCCTGACCACCCACACGACCCTGGAGCATTCCGACTGTGCCTTCATGGTGGACAACGAAGCCATCTACGACATCTGTCGGCGCAACCTGGATATCGAGCGGCCCACGTACACCAACCTCAATCGTCTGATCGGGCAGATCGTGTCCTCCATCACGGCCTCCCTGCGATTCGATGGGGCCCTGAACGTGGACTTGACGGAATTCCAGACCAACCTGGTCCCGTACCCCCGCATCCACTTTCCCCTGGCCACGTACGCCCCGGTCATCTCTGCCGAGAAGGCCTACCACGAGCAGCTGTCCGTGGCTGAGATCACCAATGCCTGCTTCGAGCCGGCCAACCAGATGGTCAAGTGTGACCCTCGGCACGGCAAGTACATGGCCTGCTGCATGTTGTACAGGGGGGACGTGGTCCCGAAAGATGTCAACGCAGCCATCGCCACCATCAAGACCAAGCGCACCATCCAATTTGTGGATTGGTGCCCGACAGGATTTAAGGTAGGACTGGGTGATGCAGAGTGGTTTTTACCTGTCAGCAGCAGCAGACCCAGCACAGCATGCCCTTTGTGGAGAATACCCCCGTTCCATGGCAGCCAGCCCTTTGGTCATAAATTAGCCGGAGTGATAATGTATTCATTGGTCCCTTTTGAACTTCCTTCCTGAGTTATCACACTATAATCTGTGGTGAGAATTTTTTTAAGAGAACAGGACATTTTTGGAACAATCTTTGTTCCTTTTTTGGGTGGCGAATCAGTGTGGGGAAATGTAGTCTGGATTTAGAAATGTAGAAATTTTCAAGGCATTTTGATAATTTTTGTGGATATTTGAAATTGGCATTACTATAAACACTGCTGTTGCTAAAATCTACTTCATTTCACAGGCATATAGAAATTAAACCCAATTTAAATGTCCCATGCAGTCTGATTTAAAGAAAAACTTCCACGAATATTTTTGGGGAAAAAATGGCAACATATTTATTTCTCTTTTGGTAGGCTCAGCAATTTGGCCTGAGTTTGCCTTCCACGTAGTTTTTACCAACCTTCCATTTGATACAGGATAGGAAACTTGTCACTTTGAAGCTTTGTCCAATACTTGAATACTAAGCCCTGTCAAGCTTTCTATCTGGAAAAATGAGCTTCTCTCTGCCTTGCTCTTCATGCCACCTCTGCTGGTTCAGAACTCACTGCTGGTGAGCTTACTGCACTGGGTCCTTTTTTTTTTTTTTTTAAGTTTTTATTTATTTAACAGAGATCACGAGTAGGCAGAGGCAGGCAGAAAGAGAGAGAGAGTGAAGCAGGCTCCTTGCTAAGCAGAGAGCCCAATGTGGGGCTAGATCCCAGGACCCTGTCTGGTGAAAGGCAGAGGCTTTAACCCACTGAGCCACCCAGGCACCTCTGCACTGGGTCCTTAACTAGCACTTTCTACTCTGCATTCAGGGCTCGGCATGGTTGGCAGACCAGCCACCTATCGTAAATAGTTTTATGTGAACACAGGCACACCTGGTGTGTGGTTGGGGCTGCTTTTGTGCTGCAGACAGAATGAGCATTTGTCACCGTGACCATGTGGCCTGCCCAGCTTAGGATATGTGCTGTCTTGACATTTATAGACAAAGTTTGCTGAGCCTGGTTCTAACTGACCCTGTGTATCACTGCCCAAAGCTCTGGGATACATTGTCTCCTGGTTTGGAAACTTGGAATGCCTCCCCTTTGGTCCCAGGTCTTGGATATCACCCCCCTTTCTACTCAGCACACATATAGTCCACCTCTGGTTGCAGTAGTGGCAACAGTCCTCGGACTTCTGACAGCATTCCTGTCATCCTGTGACACACAGGCTCACTCCCTTGATGGGAGATGGGGGGGTGATCTCCCCTCGTGATAAAACCATAGCACTCTGACTTGAGTGGAAGAGGTTTCAGCTACAGAAATGAATCCCCTTCGGTGGAAGCCTATGGAGAAAATTTTATCTGAAGACTAGAAAGCAGTATCCCTTTTTAGAAGAAACAGTCCTGTTACCTGAGTACCTTATGTGGCTCAAGTGCTAGGACAAAGCCCTTCCGGCAGCTTGGACCTGAGCCAGGCTGGCCGGCTCCAGGGCTCCTTTTTCCCCATTGTCCTTGTCCAGAAACCCACAGCCTGCTCACCTGACACCTTGCCTGGCATGAGGAAGGCAACTACGTGTCTTGTTTCCATGAAAGCAGTCACCATTTCTGGGTTTGGCTGAAGCTTCACAGACTTTCTTCCCCTTTTCTCTCGCAGGTGGGCATCAACTACCAACCCCCCACTGTCGTCCCCGGGGGTGACCTGGCCAAGGTGCAGCGGGCCGTGTGCATGCTGAGCAACACGACCGCCATTGCCGAGGCCTGGGCCCGCCTGGACCATAAGTTTGACCTCATGTACGCAAAGCGAGCCTTTGTGCACTGGTACGTGGGGGAAGGCATGGAGGAAGGGGAGTTCTCTGAGGCCCGGGAGGACCTGGCAGCTCTGGAGAAAGATTATGAAGAGGTGGGTGTGGATTCCGTGGAAGCAGAGGCCGAAGAAGGGGAAGAATACTGAATGGGAGTGGGGCTAGCAGGAGTTTCTCTCCCCCCACCCCCTCCTGCCACCCTGCAGCACATCTTGTTCCCAGTTGTTAACAATTAAAGCTTCTGTATGAAACCTCTATTGTGACGCACTGCTGGTACACACTTCTCTGCCTGCAGGGATGGGGGGGGAACCCCAAGGCTGGGCCACACGGAAAGCTGTCCCGGCCTGCACTGCAGGAGTGGGGTACTGCCTTGCTCACATCTGTAAGGAGCCACTGCTTATGTGACATGCCCTGAGGGGAAACAGTGTTTCCTAGATTCTAGGAATCTAGAAATTTCCTAGATTTCCTAGATTCTAGGAAAACTGAGTTCAGTTTTCAATTGTGCTTGTCATTTTTCAGGCTTCTCTGTTAATGGCACTAGGTAAGAGTTTGGAACTGGAGTTTGAACATTTGAGATCCATGGGAAGGGGATGTTGACAAATTCCCTAACACTGTGGGTCACATGTAGGGTGAGAACATTTTTTTTTTAATTTACTTTTATTTTTTTAAGGATTTATTTATTTGTTTGTCAGAGAGTGAGAACGCACATAAGCAGGGGGAGCGGCAGGCAGAGGGAGAAGCAGTGTCCCTGCTTGAGCAGGGAGCCCAATGCGGGATTCGATCTCATGACCCTGGGATCATGACCTGAGCCGAAGGCAGACGGTTAACTGAGCGAGCCACCCAGGCGTCCCTAGGGTGAGGACATTCTGGGTTGGGGGGGAAGGAGTCTTAACTGGATTTTGCTTGGCATCCACAGCTTACAGGGGGAGCTCTAGGTCACAGCACGGTTCATCCTTGACTGTGCTGTGCGGGTACTCTGTAGGACAGCCTCCCCCCTTCGTGCTCAGGCCCTTGCAGCTGAGCACCCTGGAAAGTCTCAGCAAAGGCACTGCCCCTTTCCCTTTAGCAAAACGTGTTGACGGCCGTTTATGAAAGATCTAGGAATACAGTTGACCCTTGAATAACAGGATTGTGCAGGGCCAACTGTACCTGGATTTTTTTTTTTTTTTAAAGATTTTTTTATTTATTCATTTGACAGATAGAGATCACAAGTAGGTAGAGAGACAGGCAGAGAGAGAGGAGGAAGCAGGCTCCCCGCTGAGCAGAGAGCCCGATGCGGGGCTCGATCCCAGGACCCTGGGATCATGACCTGAGCTGAAAGCAGAGGCTTTAACCCACTGAGCCACCCAGGTGCCCCTGTACCTGGATTTTTTACAGTACAGCAGTGTAAATCTGTTTCCCTTATGGGTTTTTTTTTTTTTTTTTTGTCTAGCTTCCTTTTATGGTAAGAAATACGGTATATAATACAAAGCATTTGTTAGTCAACTTTATATTACCGGTAACGCTTCCTGTTGAGAGTGGACTACTAGTAAATAAGATTTGGGGAGGGGTGCCTGGGTGGCTCAGTGGGTTAAGCCGCTGCCTTCGGCTCAGGTCATGATCTCAGAGTCCTGGGATCGAGCCCCGCATCGGGCTCTCTGCTCTCTAGGGGAGCCTGCTTCCTCCTCTCTCTCTGCCTGCTTGTGATCTCTGTGTCAAATAAATAAATAAAATCTTTAAAAAAAAAAAAAAAGATTTGGGGAGTCAAGTTATATTTGGATTTTTCAACAATGCAGGGGGGTTGGTGCCCCTAACCCTTGTGTTGTTCAAGGGCCAACTGTATAGATATTTTCTCTCCAATTTGAAAATAAGGTACAGGAGGGTGAAATCACTGGTTTAAGTCACTTGCTTAGGTCAGCTGTAGCACAGCCAGGCCCACTAGGCAGAACTGATTCTAAATCCTTGTCTTAATATATTCAAAAGGTGATAGAAAACAGCTTGGATGGGGGCACCTGGATGGCTCAGTCGTTAAGCTTCTGGCTCTGGCTCAGGTCATGATCCCAGAGTCCTGGGATCGAGCCCCGCATTGGGCTCCCTGCTCAGTGGGAAGCCTGCTTCTCCCTCTCCTGCTCCCCCTGCTTGTGTTCTCTCTCTCTTGCTGTGTCTCCTTCTGTCAAATAAATGAAATCTTAAAAAAAAAAAAAGAGAGAAAACAGCTTGGATAGACCCTTGGTTTTTCACAAAGCTTTATTACCAACTGGGGGAAGCGCAGATAGCCTCTGCTAGGAGGGTGGCAGAGCCCAGAGCTGGGGGGTATGAGAAGTCTGCCCGTCTCAGGTGCTGCTCCGTGTGGGGCTCTTGCCCGGCCCGCCCCCCTTGGGCAGCCTGGTGGCACTGGGTTGTCGGGGCATCCTTTGGCTGGATCCTTCCCGGCCACTGCGCTCTGCCAGTGCTGGGCCTCCACTCAGAGCCGCGCTGCCTTTGTTTCTCCCTGAGCAGACACAGAACACAATCTTTAGGAACCAGGGCAGACTCCACAGCTGCCACATCGACCACATTTGTGTTCCTGGCACATTACGTCTAGCACATCTCTGTCCGACCTTTCAGCCAGGAACCCTCTGTCAGCCCTGAGTTCTGAGGCTGAGGACTGCCTGGAGATGGCACATCGAAGAGAAATCCTAGGCAGAGTGCAGGGGGCCCTGGAGCATGGGTCCTATGACAGAAGCAGTACAAGGGGCAATGGGGAAAGTCCACAAGGCCCATTTCGGGAAGTGAGCTCAGCTGGTTGATCCTGCCCAGGAAAGCAAGGGACCCGGCTGGCCACCAGCACTGCAGGGGGGCTCACCAGCTGGGCTGCTGCCTCTGGCCCCCCTGGCACTCCCTGCTCCAAATCGCCCACAGCTCAACTGCTTGCAGGGATGGTGCAGGAGGCACAACCCTCAAGAATGGAAATTAGGCTTTTGGATTTGGGTCTTGGAAGCTCTTTCTCACAGGCGTTTCCTGCCTACCTCAAAGTATTTTGCAAACATTTGGTGGTCAAGCCGCTTGCACTTGAGCTCAGCTCCCGGATCCCGTAACCAGGTTCCTGCCCCTGCTGAGGGTTGAGTGCTCAAGGAGACTTGCCCTGACCACAGGTAGTCACATTCAGATGGAGACCACTGCTGCAGATACCTCCTGACTTGTAATTTACTTACCTTACCCTCTTTCTGTGAAGACAGGAAAATCTGTAACCACGCTTGGGCCAGAGCTTTATTTTAAAGGAATGGCTTCCTTGGCCTCAGGGTGTTGACAGCATTCATAAGACTGACAGGACACCAGAGGGGACAAAAGGTGCCCAGAGAGGAGGCTCATCCACTGGGTCACAGTTCCCTCATATCGGGCCTCCATTGGCCAGGGCTCTTCTCCAGTCTGGTGGGGTCCACCCTGCAGACTCTGAACAGGGTATGTGTCCCGTGTTTGACCTCAACCTCAACGTCAGTTAGTAATCAAATAAATAGCCTGCACAGGGGACTTCTAGATTTTTGGAGAAAAGACACCATGAGGTTTCTTAGGGGGCATATTAAGTCATTTCTGTTTTCCTGTCTGTCATGGTGAACAAGGGAGGCCCCTGCATTTGCAACACTGTAGACCCTGGACATCAGACTTGCTTCCCAAGCTCTGTGACACAACTACATTCTCCCCTTCTTACAGAGCATTTCTGAAAAGCTCCTCTCCAGAGAATAGGGCATCTCTGTTGCCCAGTGGGCTGGAAAGGGTGACAGTGGGAGCACATTTGAAATTCTGACAGCTCAGATTTTCCCCTGCTTTGCCACCCTGGGCTTCACACTCAAGTGTTTGCATACAGTTGATTCAACAAAGATGTAATAACAGGTTACCCAGGGCTGAGGGCATGTGGTAGGGTGAAGCCAGGCCAACTCAGCCTGCAAGTGTCTCATGGAAAAGACACAAATCCGAGAGCTGTCACCACACATTTCCTTTCTCCTGTTACAAATGCTGCTACCTGGTCCCCACTGACTGGTCAAGGGGCAAGGATCCTATCTCTTATGGGTGCATGAACCCCACCGCCTTGCAGCTCCCAACATGTTGTTGCCCACTCTGATGCCATGTCCCTCTCCAGGCTGGGCCTGGCTGCCAAGACTCATCTGTAGCACCTGGCCTAGTCCGGGGTACTTAAGTGTCCCGCAAACTCAGCTCGGTGCACTTCTGAAGGACTTGCAAGTACAGTTCACCCCTGACAAATGGCAAGGTGGATCTCAGATGTGGGCCTGAGTCTGAATGTAGCTTTTCTTCAGCACACCACACACTGGAACTTCCTCTCCCTCTCAGTATAGTGACCAGGGCCCTTCTGGAAACTCAAGGATAAGAGAAAAGGAGAAAACAGCAAATAATGCTCATCTTTAACCTTGATGAGGCTCATAATTCCTGGAAATAAGACACCGGTGTAACTTTGAGCCATAAAAGGCATTAAGAGCACTATCGAACAATGAAAGTAGACCATTTATCCAGCTCTGTGCAATTCTTAGAACCTTTGGGAATCATGTGCTCTCAGTGGGGAGACCCATGCAGGCCTCATTTTACGCAGAGCTGGGGAGGTTGAGGAGAGTGACATTCGGGTCTCAGAAGAACGGTGTACAGGGCCTATCGGTGGTCAGACCTGCTCTGCTAAGCCTGACTCAGCCATGTGCCCCTGGGCCCTGCAAGAGACTTTCTGGAGCTGGTCCTATCTGCCCCAGGTCCCTGCATGGGGTAATCAGGGTCAGAGGGAATGGAGGATGGAGCTGAGCCAAAGGTGGGAGGGGTGATATGCTACCCCAGGCCCAAAACCTGAGCGGCCCCCAGACAGTTGAAGATGACCACTGAAGACAATGACCACTGAAGGTTAAAATGTCTGTCACAACAAAATCCCAAACGCAACCCGCAACCCGCAACACATACCCTGGGGCTGGGGAGCTGACTCATTCTGGTGGGACCCACTGTGTCATTTACCTCTGGTGTGGCCCATGTGATCCTGACTCCCCATCCCCTGCGAGCCCTGTCTGCAGAGCTGGAGGGATCGAGGGGTCACAGAAAGCAGCCTGAATGTGGGCTGCTGCTCCCATCCTGCCTACGGTCCCCGGGAGCAGCCTTTCTCCATGATGCCAGTGCTCCCTTGCGCTCAAATGGGCTAATGGGGCTGCTGAGGCCAAATATTAGTGGCCGTGAGTGCACACCAGACGCATGGTGTGAGGAAGGAAAAGAACGGGGTCAACACAGCACAGCAGGCGCCCCAGTATATCCTCAAGGCTGGCTGGCAAGGCTAGTGGCCGGGGTGAGTGAGTGGCCAGGACCATCCCTCACTGCTACCACAGGCAGGTCTGCACCCAGCAGCCAGTCCTGCTGCCCCTTCCAGCCGAGTACACAGGAGCGGCTTGATCTGTGCTTCCAGAACACACACAGAATGCCAAAGACTCATGTGTACCGTGGACATGCATACACGCCTCTTCAACACAAGCCTATGCTTCCTGGGGGGGAGCGACCCCTCCTGCATGTGCACCTGCAGCCCTGATTCAGTGTTTTGGGGAAAGTGTCGCTGTGATTGTCCCTGAGCCATGCTGTCCAGTAGAGATACAATGTGAGCCACACGTGTCATTTTCTAGGAGCCACATTAAAAAGTTTAAAAACCAGGAAATTAATTTAAATAAGGTATTTTAATTAGCTCAAAATGGGCAGTGTTATCACTTCAACATGTAATCAGGATAAAAATTATTTACGAGGTATTCTCTTTTTGTGCCAGTTCTTCGGCATCTGGCCATCTGCTGTGTACTGACCTCGTGCTGAGTCTCAGCTGCCCCAGCCCTGGGGGGCCCAGGGCTTCCCTACTGGACAACGCAGCTCTGTGTAAAGCTCACAGCTTCTGCACACCAGACTTCATCTTACACCTTCTGGAGGAACATCTTTTTAAAGTATACAGTTTCCCAGGATGCCTGGGTGGCTCAGTTGGTTAAGTGTCTGCCTTTGGCTCAGGTCATAATCTCAGCGTCCTGGGATCAAGCCCCACATCGGGCTCTCTGCTCAGTGGGGAGTCTGCTTCTCCCTCAGCCTCTGTAACCCCCGACCCCCACTCATGCTCTCTTTCTCTCAAATAAATATATTTTTAAAAAAATATATATAGTTTCCCTAAACTTCAACAGAGAACACTCCATTGCATTTTATTTTTCTTTAGTGACCACACCCCCACCAAGACAAGCATTTATCCCTGTGTGCTCTTGGGGTCTTCTGCTTCTCCATTTTCTGCCTGGTAAAGGCAGAAATGAGTGAGGTTATCAGTGACAGTCCCCGCAGGCCACTTGGATGGCCAGGGGACAGGGACCCAGATGACCCGCTGTTCCTGTTGCAGCTTACCAGATCGAACTCCCGAGTGGGGCTCCAGCCCCTGGTCTGCAGCAGCTCCACACCCCGATTCCATGGGAAACCTAAGGCCAGTTCACCCCAACAGCCTCAAACCGCCATCACAACGCTAGGCTACCACAGTCCCCCAACTGATCACTCTAATGACTCTCCTCATTTTCTCCCCCCTATACCCTGCCCAAGCTCTGTGTGGAGAGATTCTGTGCACGTGGCCTCAGAGCTTTTGGGTCTCTGATGGCCTCGGCCTCTTCGCCACTGTACACTCCTGTCATGGCCTCTCATGTGCCCAGCTCCCCTTCAGTGCCTCCCCACCAAACCCCCTTCCACGCTGCACTCTCCCCTCACTGGGTATCTCCCCAGGGCCTCTGTGTCCTCATATTCCGGTTGCCATCTGCCCAACCCAGGAGACCCAAGGCCTAAGCACTTGAGAAAACCTCATGGCACCCAGCACTCCACGCACACCACTCCTATCCCTGTGCTTGGGGCTTCCTCCCCACCTCCCTCGGAACCCCTCTATGCCAGTGCTCCTGGTACTAAACCCACAGTACCCCTTGACTCTACCCTCCCCTCTTCTTTCCCCCCAACCCCAAGCTCAGGCCTGTTGCCACAGAGGCCTGGGCCTGCACCTCTCGCTGGAGCCCTCCTCACTCCCCCCCAACTCAAAGGGCTACAGGGAAACAGGACTCTGATTCCGGTTAACACTTGCTGTTCCAGCAAGGCCAGCTACACTGGCTTCCTCCCATCTCTGTCACCTTTGATTGATCCAGCCTTCTCCCTCCCTGGAAGGAAGACTTGTCCATCTCACAGCCCCTGAGTCCTCAGCCCTGAGAGCCAGCTTGGCACCCAGCCACTGGGTGAGCAAGCAGCAACGCCCCTTCAAATGAGGAGGGCTGTCCCCAGTATCTCCCTCCTTCTGTCCACTGATTCTTCAACTCAGCCTTGTAGTCTACGCATGTCTGCCCAGATCTGCCCCTTGGCCCTCCCCCACCTGGCTGGCCTGAGCTCCAGGAGGCATCCAAAACAACAAGGTGGGTGATGTGCAGAGGGACATGGAGAGGACAGCCAGGGAACCTGTGGGATCTCAGGTCCTCACACACCCCTGGCTCTGGGGCTCCAGCCTCATCACACGTGGCAATCCCTGGAAGGTACCCTTGCCTAAGAAACAGGCAGGAAAGGGCAATCACAGGTTATACTCTAAACTACCTGCCCGGGCGGGTGATGGCATCTCAGAGGCCAAGGCATTTCTCACACCTAAGGCTTTACTCTCTATATGAAAGTAAAGGCTCCCGGTCCTCTGCCTCTTGTCCTCCCACGGTGTGAGGGCACCTCCACAGAGCACAAGTCTCACCTAGCAGAGCTGGCCCCTAGGGAGTGGAGGGCTCTGGAAGTACTGCAGGTTGTCTCTAATAAACTGAGCCATGAAATCGCATCCCGGCTTCTAAGTTGTGTGGCAGGAATGGCCCATAAGGTCCTGTCCTAGCAGCTCATCGAAGCTGCTTTAACAAGCTCCCCTGATCTGGGGGCCACAGCAGTTTCCACAGAAACAAGAAAGAGCACCAACCCCCAGAGATAAACCAATAAACGCAACCTGCGAAAGGAGAGAACAGGCAGCAAGAGAACCGGAGGGAACCGGGGGGCCCTGGAGAGAGAGGCGGGTGCGTGGCAGCTGGGCCGTGGAGCAGAACCGGAGAGGCCGCAGGCCGCGGGGCCGAGGAAAAGGAGGGCCTTGCAGGGGGACTACAGTTCTTGGCAGAGAGAAAGGAGGCCTCTGGAGGTCAGAGAGAGACACAAAGAGAGTAGACAGAGCGTGGATCAGTTAGGAAGCCTGCGCTCCAGTGCCCAGGGCCTCTCAGGACAGGGGGCATGGGTACCCAGGGCCCTGGCACTTCCCCCCATGGGGGCCCAGCCTGCGCCCAACCCGAACAACAGCCCCCTCTCAGGACGTCTGTGAGAGCCTGAGGGCTTCTGGCCAAGCATCCAGAGTGTTTCTGAATTTGGGAGCAGATGCGACACACCAAGGGGATGCAGTTGGAGCTCCGCTGTGACTCCCTTGTTAGCAGCACCTGCTTACCCCTCCCCCCCCCGTTGTGACTCTCAAGAGTGAGGAGGCCCCTGAAACTTGCGCCCAGTGCCGTGCCCACTCAGGCCTCTGCACTCCATGTGTCTAGGGCAGCCCAGGGCTGCCACGCGGACCCCTGTCCTGGGATCTGAGGAAGGAAGCTTAGCTGGGTACATTCCTGAGCAGACCTGGGCCCCAGTGGGGTGCAACCAAAGAGGGGGCAGGAAGGCCTCTGCCTGACCTACTCCCTGAGCATTTTTCTGGAGGCTTGTACACACCTTGAGAACAGGAACCCAAACCACCTTGTTCCTGTCTTTGTGGAATGAAAGCACTTCTACCCAAGGAGGTAGGCAGAATCCTAGCCGAGGCCTCGCCTGCTTGGGCCACCCTGGACACCCAGCTTGCAACCGCCTGATCTGGACCTGCACATGTGCACTCTCAAGGGTAGCAACGATGCCAAAGCACTGGGGGACAGGACACCAAGAGGGGAGCCCCTGGGTGGTCCCTGCGGTCCGGGGAGAAGACCCACAGTAGGACTGGGCCACTCAGGGCCAAGTCCGCATTGCGCCTGGCGCTGCGCACTTCCCTCCCCTGCCACCCACCGCCTGAACCGCAGGGGCAAGGGAGCACCAGGCCCAGCTCTGACCTCGGGTCTCGGGCACGCTCGATGTGGGCAGAGACACGGATATAGGATCCTGGGTCTCGCCCGCCAGCCTCTGCCCAGCACACATGGACTTGAGCATCTGGAAGACGGCGAGGGGAGCCACGTTCAGCTTCAGCAGGTCCACCAAGATCCTGGAGAGAACACAGGTGGTGGGCAGTGAGCTCCCCTCGCCCGGGGCCTAGGAGGGCCACCTCCCTCAGGACCCCGATTCTACTCTGGGCACCCAAAGGGGTCCGAAAGGGGCGGGAGGTCTCCTCCAGACCAAAGGCCTGGTCGAGGAGCGGGAGAGCAGGGGCTTCTGGGGGTGGGACGAGCGCGCACTCCCGCCCGCGCGCGCTCACTTGAACACGTCGGGGTCGATGGCACCGCCCGCCGCCTGCGCCAGCTCGTACAGTTCCATCTCCTCGGCGCTCAGCACCTTCTTCCGCCGCAGCGCGAGCTTCTGCAGAGCCGCCTCTAGCCCCGGGGGCGCTCCCGGCCCGGGCCCCGCGCCCGCCGCCGCCATGTAGCCGGCCGGCGGGAAGGTGAGCGCCGCGCTCGCGGTTGTGCCTCGGCCCACGCCGCGCCCTCCGCCGCTCCCACAGCGCCCTCTACTGGCCCCCGCCGGCCCTTCCTCTCCCTGCCTTGCCGCAGAGGGCAGGGACCGGTTTGTCTTCTCTCTGCCATTCGATCTGCATTTACCTGCGGGATGAGAAGGGATACAAGCAGAAAAAATGTTCATCTTTAGCCCCCAAAGCTGACCTGTAACCTGCATAGTTTTGATAAGGATCAAATAAGTACTGGCTGCTACATTCTTAAAGGGTCTCATGATTGCCTGTACATCTCAAAGACAGTTAATAGAGAGCTGAAGGATAAGCAACAGAGTAATCTTGACGAAAGCAGCCTTAGGACTAGAAATTCCAAGAAGACATTTATGACCTATTACTCCCTGCACGGCTCCTACACCTGGAACACTTAGCATATAACCACCAGCTTCATACAGCAAAAGTAGTTTCTGCCTACAAGTCCTGTCCCTGTGCTACTTGAATGAACTTACTAAATTGCAACATAGTCTCAAGAATACTTTCCTGGGGCGCCTGGGTGGCTCAGTGGGTGAAAGCCTCTGCCTTCGGCTCGGGTCATGATCTCAGAGTCCTGGGATCGAGCCCCGCATCGGGCTCTCTGCTCAGCAGGGAGCCTGCTTCCTTCTCTCTCTCTCTCTCTGCCTGCCTCTCTGCCTACTTGTGATCTCTGTCTGTCAAATAAAAAATAAGTGAAATCTTTTTTTTAAAGATTTTATTTTATTTATTTGTCAGAGAGAGAGAGAGGGAGAGAGAGAGCAAGCACAGGCAGACAGAATGGCAGGCAGAGGCAGAGGGAGAAGCAGGCTCCCTGATGAGCAAGGAGCCCGATGTGGGACTCGATCCCAGGACGCTGGGATCATGACCTGAGCCGAAGGCAGCTGCTTAACCAACTGAGCCACCCAGGAGTCCCAAAAATAAGTGAAATCTTAAATAAATAAAAAAAAAATACTTTCCTGACGGCTGCACTCAGTGGTCCCACAATAGGGAGATGTGTTAGGCATGGGGGATACTGAGGCGGGCCGCAGAGACACATTTCTGGGCGTTCAGGGTCAGCCTTCATTGGTCATTCTCACTTGGGCAGCAGCACCCAGCGCAGTGCTTGGAATATAATAGGCGCTCAATAAATGCCTGTCGGAAAGTCAGTCATTGCGGTGTATAATTATTCTGCGCCGGTTCCCCATTAGGGGGCGCGCCTCCAGGACCCTAATAAACAGCTTCTCTTTGCGCGCACGCGCGCTCCTTACAGCTCCCACATTCGGAGAATTCAGGGTTATGGAACACTGCTGCCGCCGCTGCGCACGCGCCTTCGGAGATGTAACCCCCTAAACCCTGCCGGCTTTCATTTTGCGCATGCGCCTTTTGCGATAACTGCCCGCAGAGTTGGAGGTGCGTTTCCCGCCAGGGTAGGGGAGGCGTGATGCCAGGCGCAGCTTGATGACGACATTTCGGCGCCGGGTAGCCGAATGGCGGTCTCCGTCCCTTAGGCACGGGACTTTATGGGTCCCACAGGTGAGTGGTGGGAGCCGCGTGCGGGACGGTCTCATGTCCCGGCGATACCCCGAATCTCCGCCGAAGCCATCTCTGTTCCTACACGAGCCGTAGGCCTCAGACCGGACGTTGGCGTCTGTGCCCCGAGCCTGGCCTGCCGGCCGGCTGGAAACCCAAAAGCCGGGCTGCGCCCTCTTGGCCATCTTCCAGGGCTGCGCCCTCATGCCACCTTTTCGTGCGCCTCGCACACCCCATCCTGGTGGGTGCTCGGTTAACGTTCGTTGAACGGAGTTGGCGGAGGGAGAGATTCGAGTTAAAGTTGAGCCTTGGGCTCAACAAGCTGTGTGGGAGGAAGAGCCGAGTGTGGATTCTCACCCGACTCTTCTTCCCGGTGTGGGTCGAGCTTCCTGAGCCTCAGTTTCTTCTAATATGGAGATCTCGAGGCTCACTTCACAGGGCAGTTGTGAGCGGCAAAAGGGAGCATCTTCTGCTTCTCAGCAGCCAGAGGGAGACCGTGGCAGTAGTGTGATTTGCTTGGCTTGATCGGTGTTGCCACTCCGAGAAGAAACCTCAAAACAAGATCCGAAGCAGCCACTGAATAAAGTGGCCGTGAAGTGGCGGATGAAAGGAACACTTTGTACATAGCGGAGAAGAGTGTGATGGAGGAGCCTGGCTGTGGCAGGGTTAGAGAACAGGCATTAAGAGACACTGCCCTCTCCCGGAAAGACTCCTTGGTTTGGCGCCTCTGGCCCTCAGTCCTTGAGCTGATGCCAGTGTAGGCTTCCACCTCATCATCTCTAAAGCTCTGCCCTTTGCAAACAGGCCAGGATTTTATGCTGCTTTGATTATTTTACTTTGGTCATCTTTATCGCGCTATTCTCTTGGTTCAGGACTGAGGCCTTTTAGGTCTTCCTTAAAACTGAATCTGATAACCAGTGTCATGAAGAATTGAAAAAACCGAGGAGGTTGTTTCTATTGCCAAGAGACAGAGATGCACATCTCTCGGTTCCTCCACTGCCTCACAGCTTCCCTGCACCTGGTCTTTCCTCATCCACATGCACTTCCATTTGCCACCTCAGCACACTTACTCATGCTGTGGGCAGAGCTGTGCCAGGAAGACCATCATCAGTGGGACTCAGCGGTCTCTGTTTCTGTTCATTCACCGTCTGGATAGTTTCAGTTTCTGAACTGGGTGGGCAGAGAGATAGGAATCTAGAGAGTTGCTCCTGATTTTCTGATGGCTTGCTCAAAAACTCCCTCGGCTGCGCTTGCTGATCCCTTCCATTCATTCCATTCATTCTCGTAGAGCACAGTGACGTACTTGTCTTTGTGGAACATGTGTTAAGAGGTCCATGTATTTCAATCTTGGTTCTGCCATTTACCAGCTAAGTGAGGGCATGTGATTTACCTCCTCTTTGCTTCCACTTCTTTTTTTATCCCTGTTGACCTTGCAGGGTTGTTGTGAGGATATATGTTTTCTATTCTTCCTTAGCAAACTTAGCAGCTTGAAACTGCATCCGCTTATTATCTCACAATTATATAGTCCAGAAGTCTACACAGGCTCCACTGGGTTCTCTGCTTAGGATATCACAAGATTGAAATGGAGGTGTTGTTGGCTTTGTTCTTACCTAGAAGCCCTCAGAAATAATCTTTTTCCGAGCTTATTCAAGTTGCTTGCAGAATCTAGTTCCCTCGGGTTGCACAACTAAGGTCCCCGTTTCCTTACTGGCCAGCAGCTGGCACTGCTCTGTATCTTGTGGTCCACCCCCTTGAGACTTCAGTCTCATCTGTCAGATTCCTTCGTAACCCCTACATGAGCGTTTGACTGAATACCCAAGGATAGGAATCTTGGAGGGCTGTCTTTAAAATTCTGCCAACCCCAGAGGATTAAATGAGGAAATATATGGTGGTATCCTAGAAGCAGGTGTGGCCCCTAGCAAGTGCTGTACAAGCGTCACCAAGGATTTGCCACTGCAGGCTTGGCTCTGAAGCTGGCCATTATGGAATGTGTCAAACTGGCATTTCTTTTTTTTTTGTTTAAGATTTTTATTTATTTATTTGAAAGAGAAAGAGAACAAGTTTGGGCACAGAGGGAGAGAGAGAAGCAGAGTCCCCGCTGAGCAGGGAACCTAAGACGGGGCTCCATCCTAGCACCCGGGGATCACGCCCCAAGCCAAAGGCAGATGCTTAATCAACTGAGCCACCCAGGTGCCCCTGGACTGGTATTTCTTTCTTTCTTTTTTTTTTTTTTTTCTTTGACAGAGATCACAAGTAGGCAGAGAGGCAGGCAGAGGGTGGGGGGAAGCAGGCTCCCCACTGAGCAGAGAGCCCGATGCGGGGCCCGATCCCAGGACCCTAGGATCATGACCCGAGCCGAAGGCAGAGGCTTTAACCCACTGAGCCACCCAGGCACCCCTAGACTGGCGTTTCTATAAAACCTGGCATTTGGCAGTGTGGAGTGTGTTGAGTTCTACAAATACTCTCTTGAGCCTTGTGAGGCAATGTAACATTCTGTTTTGTGGCGGACGTTGAGATGTCACCTTTGTTTTTTCACAGTGGTTTCCTAAGACGGCCGTTGTCTGCGGGTCCCGGGAGGTTGCAATGGCGTTCCCTCACCTGCAGCAGCCCAGCTTTCTGCTGGTAAGTACCACCTGCCTCCGGGAACGTCAGCCTGATGATAGGTCTGTAGCCCAGGGACTTTCGAGTTCTTTCCCCTGACCTGAACTGTCTGCTGGTAGTTCTTTGAGGGGATGCCAAGGAAGGTGGCCTGGGGGTTAGAATCCTTAGACTTGACTCTGCCCCCTACTGGGCAGGACATTAGGTTTACTCTACCTCTGAGCCCTGGTTTTCTCACCTACAAGATGAGTTTCTCACCTCCAAGGTAAGTTGATTCAAATGCAGTTTTCATGACTTCCTGGGGCCTGGGAAGGCTCATGTGAAAGGATATACATCAGAATTTTTGCATCTCGTAGGGGCGCCTGGGTGGCTCAGTGGGTTAAGCTGCTGCCTTCGGCTCAGGTCATGATCTCAGGGTCCTGGGATCGAGCCCCACATCGGGCTCTCTGCTCAGCAGGGAGCCTGCTTCCTCCTCTCTCTCTGCCTGCTTGTGATCTCTGTCAAATAAATAAATAAAATCCTTAAAATAAAAAAAAAAAAGAATTTTTGCATCTTGTAAATCTTTACATGCTTCACAAGGTATTCTAATAATCCCAGCTGTTATCCTTAGAAAATGGCGTGACTACACTCTCAGCATTAAACATGATGCTGGGAAGTTATGTTTGAGGCAGATAGCCATGGTGAGGATTCCTTATTTCAGTTCCCGGAAGATAATTTCTATAAACATTCATTCAGAAGGACATGCTTCCTTAGTGCCCCTTCTAGAGTCAACACTTGCAGTGCTCCTGGCATCCAGTGGGTAGAGGCCAGGCATGCGGGGAGTGTTCCCACAGCACGTGGCACAACATCCCAGATCTTTGACCGCGGCACCATCCTCATTTGGAGATGGCTAAGGCCTTCGAT